ATCCTTTGTAGGATTTCAGAAATAGAAAACATACATGGACCGCTGTATTCTGAGGCCCGGGAGTTATAACCATACAGTAAAAGAACAGAATGCAGGAGCAGAAGTGCCAGAACTGGGAGTTTCAAACCAGCACCCCTTATATCTAAGGTTCTTACCAATAACCCACCCGTCTATTTTTCTTTGTGTAGAATATGAGCGTCCCCCGTTCCGGTACACGCTATTTTTGATTGTGTTTCATTTCTTAAAGTTGGCGATGCCTAAGAATTTTCGCAATGGGCACCAAAGCTGCGTTTGGAGGGTTCAGTCTACGTCCGGGTAGAAGACGCGCTACTGGACCTCTAAAAACAGTGCAATTTGTTTGTTTGATTTGCTTCACTGCGCTGTGGGGAGACCGCTTGAACTCTGCTAGCATTGCTTCTCTGCGCATTGTGAAAACCCCGACGTTTGTAGAAGTTTGAAGCCATCCTCCTTCCTCTCTCTCCTCTCAACTAGCCAAAAGATAAGCAATTTTTTTTCGAAACTGACTAGAAGTTTGAAAATTAACTAATCGAACCTCAAAGTTCGACGTCGAACCGGAGGTTCGTCAAGAGTTCGCCGCACCCTTAGATATAGCCCAAAAATAGCCACATAGCCAAACGCGAAATTTTGACGCCAACTAAAAAAAAATGTAGCCCAATTTGGCTATATATAGCCCAATCTGGCAACACTGTGAAAATATAGTCTACGTGATGCTTCGATTATGATCGTGCAAAAAGGTGTAAGAATCGAATGTCCCGCTCGAACTCTGTTTTGCTCGGACAGAGTCTGACCGCTCGGACGTGGCTCAGACGCCTGGCATACAGATCATGTCGACCGTTCTCCTAGATATTGATTTTGTATGACCGTGATAGTACAATCACATGCATCATGTTTTCATTCGCCAAGGGTTAGTCCGACGCACTTATTAATTTTGTTTCTCGCGACCACTGCCAGGGTATTATTTGCGGCTTCTGGCTGGCCACATTCAAATCTGTGAAGACGCCCTGGGACACGCCCAGCCCGCTTTCGGCCAATGGCGCCTCTTCATTTGCTTCCTATACTTTCCAATGAATGGCCAAACTCTTTCTATGTATACACCTTTCCAAAAAACGCTCCTAGGCCACTGCCATGTTGCTGATGCTGATGCGGCTGGTGCGACTCTCGCGCCCTCTATCAGCTAGAAATTTTCTGCCACCCTCTGGGACTGTGAAGACCCGCTCGGCGTGGTTCTCTACCTACGTTTTTGCGGTTTTGCATTCAATGTTTTCTCGCCCCTCTTGAAAGTTTCCACTTAATTTTTTTTATGCGTGCTGCGTACCCTTTTTGTGTTATCTTCCACTGTGATAAATAAGGCTGGTAAGTACCTGCCATTCAAGCTTTTCTGCTCGACATTCACGGGAAAGGAAGGAGGTGAAGGACGTCGAACGACCCTCGACGCGATTTTGCAAACATTGTTCTTCCCCCTCCCAGAGATAATCCGCGTAGAATCCTCAGTCGTCTCCCAATATAGCTGTCCGGGTTGGGGTGAGAAACGGGTCAGTCGCGTTTGTTTCTTTGCTTTGGTGCGGTTATGAGAAAAGGTAGCTCTTCCCAAAACGGGCCCCAAGACGAAGTCATCTCTGATTCCGTCCGATCATCAAGATGTGACTGTCGTCGACTGTGACTGTGTTATTTGAGATCTTTCTCAAATAAATTCTTTTCGGATAACGCTGCATCGTGTGGTACGTACGATATATTGTTTGAATGTTACCACTTCCTCAATTGTATGTCCGTGTCCTGTCCATCGGTAAACACGTTATTTGTGAGCATGAAAAATGCATGCCTTTCGGCCCTCTTCTGTTGCAATTTATTTTTGACAGCAAAGCGCTTTGTCGTTTCACATGCGGTGAATCCTGCGGCGCCGTCAAAGCTTATCGTAAGAAATAAACACAAACAACTAGAACTATACATTCCAATCGAACTCGTTCTGTCGCGCGCGTACCCAACAAAAATAGTTTAGTTTTTTTTTTTTTTTTTTAAATGTGGGACAATGCTTTCTCAATGTCCTCGGGAAAATACATGTAGCATGAAACACAAAATATAGCGGGAAACGACGATAATTTATCCGCCAGCAGTGTTTGAAACTGCGCCTACACAGGCTGCGCCTATTGACATCACAGTCCACTCGGTTAGGGTTAGGAGGGACGCTGGTGAGAGTCTAGCCTCAAACTCAGTGACTGGGCTCGAAAACAGTTTGTTGCCCCTGGGGTTGGGTGTTTTTTGGAAAGGTGTATAAGGATGGCTGGTTGGGCTAGTTGGTTTTGCATCATGATGTAAAACACCAAAACAACAGAGACGAAAAAGAAGGAAGAACTGGACAGGACGTGGCGTATTACACCATGGTTTCTACGTATAGCTCTGCCCGCTTGGTCTGGAGGTCGATGACACGAAAACTCTATCACGGGTGACGTCAGAACTGTGCAGTGTGCAACCACGTCCTTTCTTATCTGCTGGCCTGCTTTCTTCAAAGCGACGTGCTCCTGTCTCATCGTAACGGCTGTACATGCCGCTTCGGCAGCCCTGATTCCACAATCTTCGCTCATCACTCTGGACAGCTGCCGAGCTCACGTGCTCTGCGGCACGAGCAGTTCACGCAACTCGCTCGCGCGACTTGTCGAAGTGTTAAAAACAGTTGTGTGCAATTCCGCAACTCCGCCTCGGAGGTTGCGACGGGGAGGGCTGCACATTTGCCTCTACCGGACTCTGAGCCACGGGCATTTGCTTCTTGCGCATCCAACATTGTCATGTGGCAGGAACCCTAAACGTTTCTTCAACTGCTGCCATAGTTCTACGGAAATTTGTGCAGCTGAGTAAACCTACGCATAGACCAATTTTCTTGAAGCGTGGACCAACCACTGGTCTCTATTGTAGTAGGCTGGATTCAAATCGGAAGTCTGTCGGTGGCGCCACCGGCAGCCATTGCTTGGCACCAAGCAATACGTGCCTTGCACGGGACGTCATATGGCTCCATACCATTCCTGTGCCCGTACCCTCTGGAACATACATTTTGGCAGCATCGAATCTGTTCTTCTCCGCAAAGTTCTCCGAGAGGAAGAAATTCATTGGTCCTAAATGTGTGCTCCGGAAGGTACGGGCACTGGAGCATGGTCCGCAGCAATGGTGGCTGATGTGACGTCAATGCAAGTCGTGTATACACGCAAGTCTATGGGAGAAACACACAAAAGAAGGAAATTAAAGCTTCTACACAGTGTTCGAAGGCATGTATTTTACGATGTGCTGCAATAATTTTATTGTGTGTTTGGAGGTTGAATTGCGATTTCTCAAGCATTCGAATGCCCATTAAAATATTGTGCTATAGCACCCATGGCTGATCTGGCAAGCTTGCTCTCGTGGTGGAGTGAACAAATAAACTTGCTGTCAATAATGCCGTCGTGGGGGAGCCCAGAAGTTGCTGAACATCAACAAAGTTCCATATTGGCAGCGTCTTTCCGGGAGTGAGCGAAATCATAGCAGAGCCTTCAAGCTTGTCACCTGCTAAACCCGACTCATTGAAATCGCCACCGACTCCGAGGTACCTTTAGGTAACTCTCTTCTCAGTGAGCTGCTGTACATTTTTTGCCCAGTAGAGTCACTCTCGACAACAAAACATTTCTATATAACAACCGCGAGGGTTGTCAGTTTTAATGTTTGTGCACTAGCTATTTGACAGGCTTCCCGACAGCAGCCAAAAGATTCAGTGACGACAACAGTTTACGAGAGGGGGAACGTCACTTTTCTTTGTCTTTCCCATAGAGTTTTATGCATTAGCCAATGTCAAGTGATGGGCGCTGGTGGCACCACTCCTCCCTATTAAGACGAGCCTCGATCCGTGATCCAGCTTACTACAACAGAGATCAGTGGCACCAACTAGCCCAGGTACTGATGTCGCTGGCTTTCTGGCGCAATATAATAAATAACATGCTGAAAAGAGCAGGGCCATGACATGACGTGGTGAGGCTAGCCTCTGTGATGCAGCTTCTTCGGTAGGTGCATCCCCTCTGACCTCATCGCCCGTCTGTCTATGCTGAAAGAAGCAGTGGTAAATCTCCTTCGTGGGATTGCCAATGGGAGCAGCTTCATCTCCATCTTTGGCAAACTCCACCGGCGAACCAACTCCATTGTGACGTCTGTCAACACGCACGACTGAGTTGAAACTCTATCGGGATTTTTCCCTTAAAGTGTCCCCACTGAGAATCTCAAAACACCGCGGTGAGTATAACAGTAAAAATATTATTTTTAAGTTGGCAAAATGAATAGCATGAGACAAAATTAAAAAATATATTCCAGAAATCTGGTTGCATGAATTAGTACCTAATGTGCTGAAATAATGAATACAATCAACGTTAACTACAACCCTTTACGTTGCGAAGACAGTTGTGGCCGACAACGCTAAGAAGCGCAAGCTAGGTCGCTACGTCTCGGCACGACAGTTTGCGCTTCTCCTGGACTTTCTCGGTGAAAGTCGAGTTTTCTCGGGGACTGCTACAGAGAGCTTTGTTACCAAGGAGGAGCGAGATACACTATGGGGCGTAATAGTTTGAGAGTTAAATGCCCTTCGGCCATAAAGAATAACTTTCTGGAACTCACGTGCATGCCAGACGTGGGCTTGCGACCTGAGAGTCTCGTGTCCCTAACAGAAGACCGGTGCAAACCTGCCAACTCTTCCGAAGTTTTTGTAAAATGTATGAATTGGGACTAATTCTACGATTTTACGAATCTTGCTTCAAAGTTTACGAAAAAAAGATACTTTTTTCATTTCTATTTTTTTAAACATTTTTTTCGTAAAACCGTTGCTGGCGGTACCTCACACTGCCACAAGAGGGCGACAGGTGCCGTCCACGGCAGCGTTGTGGTTTTTACTATCCGTCTATCCGGGGGCCACATATCCAAAATCAATCCAAAGCCCAAAGCCTTTGTTTGTGTGTTTGGCGGCGCATGTTGGTTTGGCGTGTTCAGACGTGGTTGGGCCTCTGTTTCGGCCAGTTTCGAGGCGAGAAGTGCAGCGTCTGTGTTTGTTACACGTGTAATCATAGCATTCCCCTGGTTGCGGTGGCTTCGCGGTGCAATGGCAAATTCCAAACCTAAAAAGAGGTACTTTCAGGTGTTCTTGAAGTCCTACACGTCGGAATTCCAGTGCTTTGTGCCGTCCAAAAAGGAGAGAAGTTTGGATTCTGTAGCACGTGCACGTGTAATGTAAGCGTTTTGCACGGTGACAAGGCTGACATTAAGCCTTGCCACCTTGCGAAACAGCCCCCCCCCCCCCCCCGCAATTGCGTGAGTTTTACGAATTGTAATGTCCACAGGTTGGCAGGTATGCCGGTGGGGGCGCGAGTGATGGGCCGTCCCTAAACGCGGAGCAAGAAAAATTATTATTTTTTGTGGGGACGGATTTCTCTCGAGGGGGCGGGCGTGCGCCCCCGACAGTGGACGCGCCGCTGTGGGACTTCACGGCTGCAGCAGCAGCTTCGATAAGTACCGTGAATCTCTTGGATCATGAGAAGACACCATGTTGCTTTTTACCTTATTGAACACTAATGTACAAAACAATGTGGTGCGAATGTATTGCCTCGTGGTGTTTTCCACGAAAGCTTGGATATCGGGGCTGCAGCACATTTCTAGACCCACTCGGAGACAATAAATCCGTGACATTCGAAAAAAAAAATAATATTGAGTTTAGGGTGCACACTATTAGACACAGGTATAACTAGAAGGGCTGTATAGCGTTGTGGTGTGTTACATAGTTGAATTATATTATGCAGGGGTCTGTGGCTGAAGGCGACATGGCAAAGGGAGGAGAGGAGGAACGTCCTGCGCAAGTGGCATGCCCCCTACCACCGAATGGTACGAACGAAAAAGATGGGAAAGCTGCGATTGTTTATTGCAGTGTGCACGCTATTACAAATGTGTTTCGTGTCATTAGCAGTGCAGCATCCACCAGGTGCCATGCCAGTCCGGAGAACTAGGGCCAAGTCTGGAGTTGATACGGCACGGGATCTGCTGTCCATTCAGCAGGACCAGCTGGCTGTCCAGCGAGAACTGCTGGCCACACAGCAGGGTCTGCTGGCCACCCAGCAGCAGCAGCTGGCAGTTCAGCAGGAAATGCTGCTCGTGCAGAGAGAGGCAGTCGATGCACTCCGTCGACTTGCAAGCGTAGGTGTTAAGAGAACTGTAGTGTAGTGCACTCCCAATTATTGTTGTTAGGCTGATTTTGGTCAACCCTACTTTAGCCAGTTAAGTTAGAAGGCAGTGTTCTTAGACTCAGACTGAAACCAGATATGATTTGTATGTGTATTTGAAGTGTCCAACAGCGAAGGCTTTATTTTGTTTATTTCAATGAAACCTTCCAGTGCCATAATGCTAATGAAAATTGGCAAGCCTTGAGACAAAATTTTTTCAACTTATTGAAAATTACCATACTGTGCTCGACAATCCGAACTACTACGTCTAAACCGTGGTTCAATAATCCACTTCATCGTTTATCTCATAAAAAGAAAAGATGTTTCAGGAGCGCTAAAAAAGGAAATACTTGGCCTAAGCTTGCCACTTGCTCTTCCGAATAAAAAACTATTTTAAAGGGGTGTTAGCACACATTCTTTCTGATAACTCTAAGCAGACATTCTTTCTGCAAACTCTACCTAATATGTTAATAAACAACCCTCGCAAATTTTGGAGATTTGTACTCTGAAATTAATCTAGTGAATAGCTCTTGTAATAACATATTGAATAGTGAATATGTGAATATTTAAATAGTGCGTTTTCTGATGCTTTCACTATTTCTACACCCATTACTGGAATTTCTCCTGTTATAGAGAATGATTTTCCAATGGATTCAATTGTTATAAACATTCAGGGTGTTTTCAGCGGTATAGAAAACCTCAAAATATCTCCATCATGTGGCATAGAGGAAATCATTACGAAGGCTCTCACTAACACTAAATTTTCATCCGGTCTTTACCTCAAAGATATTTGAGCAGTCCGTGGACACAGGGGTGTTGCCCTCTGACCGGAAAATTAGTAAGTAGGCCAATATCACTCACCTGCCTCTACAAGATCCTCGAGCATGTCATTTACAGGCACCTGATTAACTTCCTGGATTCCTGCAATTTCTTCACCAATGTGCAGCATGGCCTCTGGAAACGCCTTTCTATTGGGACCCAACTACTTATTCTAACTAACGATTTGTTTAACAATCTTGACACCGGCTTTCCTACTGACGCTGTTTTGCTTAATTTCGCCAAAGTTTTTGCTAAAGTCCCGGACAATCGCATTCTTCTTAAACTTTCTTTCCTAAAACTAGATCCTCATGTTCCTAAGTGGATTGAATCATTCCTTATTCATCGCTCTCAATTCGTTTTCACTAACAGCACATCCTCCTCTTTCTCTCCCGTTTCTTCCGGTGTTCCACAGGAAATTGTGCTTGGGCCTTTGCTCTTTTTAATCTACATTAATGATCTCCCTCTTCACATCTCATCCTCTGTTCATCTTTTCACTGATGACCTGTGCTGTTTATAGACTAATAAAAAACCCATATGACCATGTTGCACTCCAGAACGGCATTTAAGGGGAGACACTGCTCTTTGAAGCAAAATTTTACTAAGAAAACACATTTTTAAAAATGTGTTTTTTGAAGTTTGGCAAGCACTTATCATCTTGTCCTGAAGGATTTTCGACATATTGAATGAGGGCTAGAAATATATTAAATAGGCTGTCAGGCTTTTTGTGGGTGCCTTTTAGGCATCCGGCAAAAAATGATTTTGAAACTGGAAGGTTCAAAAGTGTCATAAGTAATTTATAAATCATCCTAGAGCTTTCATTTATACCTTATTGGATTGCACATACCTCTCAGTTCACTGATCTATGTTTATTTTCTGAGCTCAGTATTTTAATTTGCGTTAATCCTTTCCATAATCATTGCAAATTAAATTTTTAATATTAATAAATCTAATTAGGTTACCTCAAAACAAAGTACATATTTGTAGTCCGATTGTAATGCCAAATAAGCCATGTAAATTTCATTTTATTTGAATTGCAAGTTATATAAAAAAGCTCTTGAAGCAGTGTGTCACACATGGCAGATGTGTCTCAACATTAGCAAATGCACACACCTTTGCTTTACACATTCTTGCTTCCAGCCCTTAAACTCGTTAACATTCAATGGCACTACCATTCTGACTGCTACACAGTAAAAATATCTAGGCGTTCGTTTAACCACTAATATATCCAGGAATGTTCATGTCGACGAGACAATATCATCCTCAAACCGCTCACTCGGTTTTGTTTGTCGCAATTTCAACTCTGCCTTTTCTATCCTTAAACGTCTCCTTTGCGCCATGCTTGTTCGCCCTAAACTAGAGTATGCTTCAGCTATCTGGCACCCACATCAGTCTTTTTTTAACTAACGCAAATCGAATCTGTCCAGAATCGTGCTGCTCGATTTATTTTTTCTAATTAGTCTCGCCTTTCTTGTGTCACTGCAATGAAATGTCAATTAGCTCTTCCTGATCTTTCCGTTCGTCGCAGAATTTCCCGTCTTTGCCTTTCCATAAAATGTACTATTCGGAACCATTACGACAGTCTCTCCTCAGCCAGCCCAGCTATATCTCTGCAAGACTCGATCATTCGTGCAAGATTACCCTTCCCAAGACCATTTCAACATTCCCTTCTACCAGAAGCTATTGTAGACTGGAATGGCCTTCCAGATGATATTGTCACCATCACCGATAACGCTAAAATCAGAACTGTGCTAACCATGCACTCCCCTCTGTAATGCCCTTTGGGGCCTTGAGGGTAATTCTAAGTAACTAAAGAAACAAATAAATAATATTCCGCCACCAGCGTGTGTTCGTGTAATTATAGGAAACTGGCCTCGTTACTGAAGGACTTGTCACGCGGCAACTCTGCCGTCAGTGTAACTAAAATGCATCATTCGCAAGCGCAGGCAAGGACGCCACCAAGGCAGCTCCAAAGGGGAAAGAGAACAGAGTAAGGGTGGATTTACTCGCCCCACATACGCCTTTGATCAGACTTCTCGACTTCTTTCGTTAACACAGCCATTCTCTTTTCTTCTGTGCTTTAGGAGCACCTAAAATGCCAGTAACTCGTTGTCTACGAGTAATCTAATAAGGTGAATGGTGAAAACTGCTCTGCAACATGACTGCACAGAGCTTACCAAGGTGAAAAGTTGTTTGGCAAAAGTTTCCTATAGTATTGCTTGCAACGCGTCTGAAAACCTCTGGCGTGCTTTTAACTTTACTAATGTGTTGCGTAACAGTTTGCATTTTGTGCATAATGCCCTCCCCTTTTCCTGCAGGCTGTAGAGGGACAAGCAGCAGCAAGTGCGCACCAGTCGTCCGCACTGACTTCGCTAGTGCTTCAGCTCGTCGGTGTGCAGAATCTCCATCCGCCAGCCGAATAAAGTGGGTCTCTATGCTCCATTTCATTTTTGGCACGGGTTACACCACCGTTACTTGAACATCTCAGTTGAAAAACTGCCATAGGTGTCCGCTTTGCAGAATTGTTAAAAGCGAGCAGTCGCAGTCCCGCTGTTCTTGCTGCAGCGGCCATTTTGTAAACTGTGGCTAGACCAAACAACATCTGTGCCTCGATAGGCTTCTCAAGCGTGGCACTGCTCCCCATTGTAGCTCGCTGTGGCTCGCGTGTGGTGTCCGCATTTGAAGACCAACTTTCCTTAACTGGTATGTCGTAGTAATCTTAGATTACGCCACAAGCGAACTTGACATGCAGAAAGAAGGAATTTTTATCAATGTAGACTGCTTTGTAACATCTTCCAACTATTCATATTTGTTTATTCAAAGTGTTCAATAATGGCCGGAGTGTCTCCTTGGTGCACTTGTTAGTAACAGGAATACAAAGGATTTCCAGCAAGGAAGCCTAAGGAAGCTCGAGCACTTCTTAAAGGACACATGCAAAGGACTAATAAAGTTTTTTTAAACAGCCTGGTTGGGAAAAGGAAGTCATAAAACAAATTCAGAAGGAAAATAAAAATTTTAAGAGCTATATTCACGGCGTATACGAATTTGTAGTTGGCGCCGGCGGGCGCTGCGGAAAAGTGGCTGCTAGTCGTCACGTGACTGGTCGCTATTTGTCACGTGGTGCTTCCGCTCTATCGGAAGCTTCCTATGGTCTCTAAAAGTTAGTTATTCATCTTTATTTCAAGTGCAACAAAACACAAAGATTAATCGGTAACTTTTCGAACCCAAAGAAAGCTCCTGAAAAAGCGGAAGCAGACGTGATAGACCTGTGTGCCGGTCAGATGACGGCGGCAGCGCTGCGGGGTAGACAAACTTGCGCGGCGGTGGCGGTGTGGAGAAATGAGTTGACGGCGGCGCACCACGCTCAGCGTGCAGCGGCGGCGTGACTGTGAGTCGACTTTGAGACGGCGCACAGGTCTATCACATGACTTGCGGCGGCTCCCACGGGCGCAACTACAAAATCATTTTGTGCCGTCAATATAGCTCTAAAATTTTTTTTTCTTCGTTCTAATTTTATTTTATAACATTCTTTTTCCATCTGGTCTGTTTACAAAAAAATGTTTTTTTACTTCGCATGTGTCCTCAAACCCCCCCCCCCCCCCAATCCCCCCTAAAAAGAAAATGCAATACTTTCAGTGCTTAAATTAACTATGTAATGTTGACAGCCCTTATTGATTCGATAGAACCCTGGGGTGAAAATGTCCGTCAACTGATTCCAGATGTTTGGAATAGTTACCAACTTGACCTACCGGTGACAGGAAGTTACTATGCGCTGATAAACATTTCGGCTGGGTACGTGTTAGCAAATGCATGAATGCATATTCAGTGGTGTAACTGCCGCTCCATTTGCACCAAACTGTGCCAGAAGGAATAACCTGCTACATGCTGTTCCAAAGGCTGTTCTTGAAAAGGAGACTGAAAGTGGCTGGCACATGGCATTCTTTGCGTTGCCAAGAATGCCATGTGCCAGTACTATGTGCAAAGAGTAGGGCTGAGCGAATATTTTAATTATTGGGGTGGGTTAACTCCTTGAGTGCACTTCTCCTCAAGAATTGATGCACTGCGGAGAAGCAATACCTGCGGAGCTGACACCACGATCTTCCGGCTCGCTTTGCCGCAGCTCAGCCGCACACGGAGGCGAAAAACACACCTTAAAAGTGGTATAGCGCATGCGTGCGCCTGGTGTAATAAAAAGAAAAAAAATAGTGATTGTTGATATTTACGTCACAGTAAAATCTTCAAAATCTAACTGTGGTTGTTATGCAAGTGTATATGTTAGGCAGCAATGTTTTAGCAACCTGTGTTCATTATTTATCCTTGTTTTGTTTTAATTCAGGTATGAAGAACATATATTTGTATACGGCAAGAATATTTACAAATCCCCTCAATTAGGTGTGGCTGGGCTCTCTTATAGGTTTCATTTTAATTCAAATCTGTCATTTACTTGCCACCCCAATGTAGGTATTGGACTGCCTGAGGCCACAGTCTATAAATGTAGCTAGATTAAATTTAACAGAGCTCATAAGCGGGCAATTAGAAGCTTGGGAACAAGCTTTGTGAGTACAGCCGAATATTTGTTTAAGCATGGTGTACTAGTAGTGAAAAGCGTGGAGAAAGACGCAGCAACTATTCAATATTCAATTAAAGAATATTCGGCCAGAACCTCTATTTAATTCGAATTCGCTTCGAACCTAACACCCATTATTTGCACGTGCCTAACGAAGAGTTGTTGTTCTTTGTGCAAACGGTGCTCACATCGATCGCAATGAATAGATAGCGCTACTCATTGTTATCAGTTAAAGTAACTATGTGCTTTGCTTAGCTGCTCTATGAACAGTAGTAGATTGAATACGAGCGAGGGCAGCGTGACATTCAACACAAAAGTGTCCGTTTGTTGTCGAACTTGTGGCAATTACCTCACCGTGATACAAACCCTACAAAGTAGCCAAACATATTTTTTGCATCAAACACAAACCGAAGACGCCTTCGGTACTCCTAACAGGTTAATTGAGACATCTGGAGAGTTACTGGCTTATGATTGTTCAATAAATAAATAAATATCTGTAGTGGCCAGGTCCCTGTAGGTATGGTGCCTTAAATAGTTTTCCACCACCAACAACTACAGTTTTTCCCACAGGCTACCTCCTAAAGAAATGGTATAAAACTTTTTGAGGTGAAAGCTCCACATTGTTTGCTCCAAAAGTGGGAATCAGCTCCAAAATGTGTTGTTCCCTGCTACAAGAGCTGCTCCAAATCACCTCTTGTCAGTTCCACCACTACATATTCAAAAACAGTA